TATAATGTGCGCACATGCGTTATTTACTAGAAAAAATGAGTAGATTTATTAATTATGTAATTATGTGTTGGTGGATTAGGTGACAATATGATAACGCAAAGAATCCTCGAAATATAACCATAATCTGTCGAATACAATTGTATTGCAACCATTCATTTTACTATATTACGTTTCATTTTAACTATCATCGCGTATCGTGCACGTATTGTGACGTAGCTCGCTTGCATGATAAAACATTGACGATATCTTTGAAATGCATCTTAAGAAGACCATCACGCCAGACGATGCGAATTTGATTATTAAGTGAAACGTTTAAAAATGTCAATGTCACGATTCTTCTCGAAATGATGATAGAATCATGCGAAAGGAAAATTGCGGAAATGATAGGAAACATGTACTATATTTCTCAATTAAAAAATATTACAGACCTACACTTGTAACTCTTCAATAATCTATGTAGCTCGAAGTCTTTGCGTTTAAACAATTATAATAAGTTTATATGAAATGATTGCATTAAATAATATTAGACTGGTGCATAGCAAGAACCGTTTTGTCAAATGAAATATTGAACGCATATAGTTTGCGCAGAAAATAATATTTTCGTGATTTGCTCTTCTGACAGGATGATTAGCTATGAAATTCTATTATTCTCTATTATTCAGAGATAATTTATTCATTAAAAAGTTAGCTAGGTTTCATTGGATAATAATAGCAGTTTAATTTAATAGTAGATAGAAGGATAAATAATAGTTTTAAAAATTATCTATTATCTTCCTTATCTCGTTCAACGACATATGTGAAGGTAGTTTCGCGCAACCACTACATTTAGATTCATGAAACTCCGCTGACTTCGCGAACTTTCAGCGCAAATAAAAATGTAGTATCGCAGGTGCATGCTAATCTTCGCAATGGCTTGCCCTGTTAAATTCGCGGAATAAAGAAAACTTAAATTTCTTGTCGTAACTGCTGCACAAATCCACTAGCTTAATAAATCTCGTGTCAAAAAGAGGATATCTCGACCAATAGAAGTTTAACCGTCATAATTTGCTTTCGTCTCGTGTGTTCTTTAAGGAACGCGTCAAACGTTAACCTAGCAAAGGGATGTCTATCATCGTACGATGGCCTGGCGAATCTACTCGGCCACTTTGAACAAGGTCTTTCTCTCTTCCGTATCTTAAGTGTGCAAACTTTCGTCGTAAGTTTCTGAAGGGTTAAACTTTGCGCAGTTGCAACATTGTTCGCAACTCTAACCTCTTATCCCGTTTTTTACATGTTGTACCAGACCAGTGGATTTACATTAACAAACCCTGTCGATAATTGGTCAAGAATTTTGCGCTTGAAACGAATCATCTGGTACAATGATTTCTTACTAAATCAACATTAAGAATCAACTTTAATCTTCTGAAAGACATGAACCCTCAAATTATGATTGTTACCATGGTAGCCGCAGCTTCGGTTGCTTTTTTCGGATTCCTTGCCTATCGGATCAGAGTTCGATCGAACGATCCAGATTTATTAAGCGTACTCCCATTGGAAGACAACAGCTCCCTCGACGAAGATCTCAAAGACATTTTGGCGTTCGTCCCTATAAAAGAAGTACAACGAATCATTGAAAGATACATGGAATACGACCCCCAGATCGGAGATACCGTGAGCTTCGTGAACGACCAGAAGAGATTCATATTGCGCGAGTTCCAGAACATGCCTGAAGCAAACAAATTGATCAATTTTCTGCGACAGAATGGTTTGGACGTGGATTCCTGGCAAGAGAAGATACGATGCTTTTGGAAGATGTCTCCCAGGTTCATTAAATACGATCCGAGTATGGCAGCCGGAGGCCTGACCGTGATGATCAATAAAATCCTGGAGACCATGCCACTGGACGAGCTGCACGAACTGTTGCGACAAAAGGTGAAATACTCGGCAAGCTTCCGCAGATTTGTGTATACGTTGAGGTCCAAAGACTACCTGGAGCTTTGCAACGCGATTGAGACCAACGATGTGCTACATCATCACTATTTCTGGGCGAAAGAGGGTGGACTAGAGATCACGTTCGCGATCGAACTATTCAATGAGCTGCACGCCTACCTAACGCAGGCATTAGTCACCTAAGAATTGTCATGAACCATTAATAATCATTATTGAGTAATAAACTGCAGTGGAATGTAAACATAATACATTTCAGATTTTTTATTTTTACACATTTGGTTTTAGTAACGTAGAATTTAGTTTATAATTTGCAAAATATCCGCACATATGCACAATTGCGACAGAAACAGAATTTTCAAAAGAACGTTCAAATGTTATTCATATGATTATATCATTTAAATGTGTACTTGGTCAATTATAAGTGGATAAGACACGTGCTCTGCATTTTACTACAATAAAAAGATATGGCCGAATGAGAGGGGGCAGTAGATGAGCTTGACAGCTGAAAGATAGCGAATAATCGGTAAAGGGGCTCCTTCCTTTTGATAATATCTCGTTATCGTCACTCGAGTTGGTGCTTCGTAATACATAAGAAAAATGCTTGCGTACACTACAATACACGTACTGCCTTGTCATTTTGTGCTATTTTTTCACGTATCCATAATTACGGATAAAGTGTTCATACCTGGAATTGCATATGCATTCCTATACTATATTATTTGCAAGATTTTGATGATAATGTTTCACGCTTTCCTAAAATTATCCCTAAACATATAAACATATTTCTAAAATTATTCTCTAAAAACACTACCTTTTCGAAATTTTACAATTTTTGAGTAAATGCAGATTATCGCAGATTTTCTAATAACTTCTTAACAAAGTTTTTTCTTCTATAAAAATCGAACCTTTTGTGTAGTGTAAAGATAAAAGGGACATAACATGAAGAAGATGATATTTTAATTCATCATAATATATTTTATTCCTTATTCCGGGAAGCTGCAATAAATACCATTGAAATATCAAATATGCATGCTTTTTTAATATGTAAAACTTTAAACTGCAATGGAAATTATAAGTAAAAATGGGGACAAGGCTTGGAAAATTGTTCTATCCATGTTGAAACCAACGTCTACGACCTGTTGTGCCACTTCCAGGAAGTTCTTGTTCGAGATAATGGACATGTAGAATGTTAAGTACTTGTTCAAGACCACTTCATACACCAAGTCTCTAAACACTTTGGCGTGCTCAATTTTGTCTTCGTAGAGACGCGACAGGTCATCCATCGGAATAAGGGAGCGGCATCCTCCATGTAGCCATTGATTCCACCAGTGACCTTGTAAGGAATCAAGTAAGCTGTTATCCTAGAGGTCAGAGGTCGGATACTAAGGGCTTTGTTGAAATTGTTCACCACCAAGTTTACATCAAAACCATTGCCCTGCGTATAGTTCAGCAGCACCTTGAATTCAGGCGCTTGTTCCAAGTTTTGTACACATTGTTTCGACTCGTTGCTGTTCATCAACTTCATGGCTGTTTGGAAATGTTCGTCCTGGGCCAGGTATGCTTTCGATATTTCGAGGAGCTCCTCGATCGAGATCAAGTCGACAAATTACTGGAGCTCCCTGGCGAGATTCAAACCCGTGAATGGGACTTGGAGGGCGTTCAGAGAATTGATCGCAATCAGAACAACCAAGAACGCTATGATGTCTGTCATCTGCAAAAAATGAATTCGTTGAATATGACTGATACACGTTTATGTTTTGAGGAAGGAATTCTACTGCTTTATTACGCTATGGGTATAATGAATGCACGTTGTGAACTATAAAGTATCTGAAAAATGATGTAGCTACTCTCATCATAAAATTCTAGTTCGTGAGTATCCAATGTATCATAGTCTAAGGTACTGTTCTGTGACAAATCGGATAGAGGATCGATGTACAAAATTTAACGGAATCAGGATTAAAAATGCTTCATGTATGTAAAAGTCAACAATTTTCTCTTCTTCTTTGACTTCTTTTAGTTAATCATATTTCGCCTCTTGATGTGAACTACCTCCAGGTTGTGTCCCGTTGCATTTTACGTACGAATAGGGCAGATCGTAAATGCATTTCGATAAGCTTAATCGATTTCATTGTGTACTTGTAAAATACGTTATATCGTACTCCGATTGCAAATGACTTAGCCTAGCTTCATATAACTATGCAATTTCCAATTAAGTAGTATTAATGTTATGAACTTGTCGATTTGTGAAAATGTTTCGAAGACGTGCGATGTTACCTGTGACACCAACGTGTCAATTCCACATGACTGTTACGTCATGGAACAGATCGAAAATAATTTTAGGTTTGTGGTATACAGCTGTATATTGGTATGAAGCTATATATTGGTATGAAGCTATATATTGTACCAGCTTGTTATATCAGTTCCAAGAAGACGTTTCCTTGACCTCCATAACCTCCTTTGGGAGCTTCGTTAAGAGTGACACAAAAACGTTCACATAGGAAATGTTTATTGACGTATGATGGCTATTTTCCCAACTCCATCGAGACCTCGCGCCATTCATTCACAAACATCTATGGTAGGAAAGGAATGCGTTTCTTCTGCAAAAAAATGTCTAGATGTTACACAACTTGTTTAATTACAAGCGGATCAAGCGGGTGTTTTGTATTAACACGGTAGAAATGCATGATAGAAAGAGGGAGCAATAGGTATATAAGAAGCCCACCCTCCCGGTTGATAATAATCTCGTCAACAACACTCGAATTGCTACTTCATAGTAGATAAGAGATATGTTTGTATACAATTCCTCGATATTCTGCGGTAACATCTATTTTCTGATACAATTGTGCAAAAAATGTTTACTCCGCAACTGTATATTACTCATAACGAGATTTCCTCGATAATGTTTTACATTTCTTACATTTCCAAAAAGTATTATCTGTCTTGTTAAATGTTACTTTATATTGGTATACGCATGTGGTTACCAACAATGTTTTAATAAAATTTTTTCTTATGTAAAAATTGGACTACTTAATAGTGTAGTGGTAACAAGGATGTAGATAAAGAAGGCGATATTTCAATGCAATATAATTATACTTTATTCTTTAAGAGATAAATGAACAATAAGCATTATGGAACTGAGTTCTTAAAACCTAATACTTTCAACTTTAAATTACAGTGGAAATTACAAGTAGTGAGGGAGCTAAAACGAAGAAATAGTTTCTATCGATGCCAGCGTTTTCCGCCTGTTTTTCCAAATTTTGGAAGTGCTTATTCGAGAAAATGGATAGGTAGAAAGGTACGTATTTGGCGGAGATCACTTCGTGCACGAAATCCCTGAATACCTTGGAGTTCGCTATCCTGTCTTCGTAGATCTGCGCAAATTTATCCATCGAAATAAGTCTACCGATATCGTAGATGTAGCCTTGGATTCCACCGGTGATATTGCGGTAAGGGGTCGAATAAGCTTGTATCCTAGAGTGCAGAGGTGGGATACCAAGGGCTTTGTTGAAGTTGTTTGTCACCAATTTTATATCAAAACCACATTTCTGTATAAAGTCCAGCAGCATTTTGAATTCCGGTGCCTTTTCGACATCCTGTACCCATAGTTTCGATTCACTGCTCCTGACCAACTTTATAGCTATTTGGAATTGTTTGTCCTGGGCCAGATAGGCTTTCGATACTGCGAGAATTTCATCGTTCGGGGTTATGTCCACGAACTGCTGGAGATCCCTGGCGAGCTCGCCCGAACCCGTGGCTGGGACTTTGAAGGCATTCAGAGGACTGGCCGCGACCAGGACGACCAAGAGAGCTGCGATGGCTTTCATCTGCGAAGAAACGAAATCTCTGAATATCGTTGATACACGTACACATGGGTTGAGAGGAAAAAGTTTATATTGATCTGTGATTGATTATATTGTGTTTGTAATTAACTCTACTCCTATTTTATCCGCAGCACAAATAGAATGCTTTCTTACGTTATGGTTATAGATGATGCGCGTTCTGACTAATCAAGTATCGAAAAAAATGACGGGAAATTCAATAGAATAAGCAAGAAAGATTATGTTTCGTATGTAAAAATACAAAATTTGTTCGTATAGATTGGTCACCAATGAAAATGGTACATGTTTAGCACACGTTTAATTTAATGAAATTGTATGGGTAGGTACCTACCTTTGATACTTCTCTTCTCTTTTGACTTGCTTTAATCGTTTGTAGTTTTCTCCTCGACCTGTTGTAACAGCAGGTCGTGTCCTGGTGCATTTTATATACAGGTGAAGCAAGCGATAATTGTAGTTTGATAAGATTAATAGATTTCTAGATACCCCTGTAAAATGCGTCATCTCATATTCTATTGGCATATAACTTATTTCAGTGCTATATCTTTCCTTCGTTATCCATTGTATCGTGTTAACTGTAAGAACATGTATCGATTCCTAGAAATGTTTTGATAAACTTTTTATGTCACCTGCATGCTAGTTTCACAATGGTAATCACACAGATTATCGATCAATTCGAAAGAAGGATTCTTGATAAAGGAATCTGTATAATGTACGAGCTTATTCTATCAAGACAAAGTTTCTTCGACTTCTTTAGCCTGCTTTGGGAGCTTCATAAAAAAAGGTATACAAACATAACACCACATAGGATATATTTATCTATCGACATATGGTGGCTACTTTCATAGCTTCATCGAGACCTTTCCCCTTCCCGAACATAAGCGCGAAAACATCCTTCACACAACTTTAATCGAATATGAATTAAGGCATAGATTACAATTTCCATTGTTTCGTTACTGTTTCGCCGCGTGAATCCACTAGAAGCATTGAAGAAGCCACGTCAAATACTACTCGAAAGAGATCTTAGATGAATTAAACAATTTTTTATAACAAGAACTATGATACAAAAGTACCATTAATATTCTCATAATATTTCACACTAGAAATTTTAAAGGACACTTTCAATTGCACGAATGTTCAAGGTATAACATATGACGTTGATGGTTCATGTAACTGTGCAAAGTCTGCCTCTTTCTTACGAGAAAAGATATAAAATTCATTACGGTCAATGTTCCATTTCTATGGGTGGAAAAAGTCATGCCATTTTGGAAGGAATGGGCGCCATACGGTGCGGCGCGGCGATGTAAATACGAGTAACGCTCGCGATCAAGCTGCTAAATAAATTTATGTAGATATTGATCGCCTAAAGATTGTCATAAATAGTTAATAATCATTACTGAGAAATAAATTGCAATGAAATGTCAACGTGACAAATTCCAAATTTCTTACTCTTACACATTTGGTTTTGGTATTGTAAAATCTATCTTAGAATTTGCAAAATATCCGCAAACATGTTCGATAGCAATAGAATACGATATATTCCTAAAATTTTTTGTAATGTTCTTCAACTTGTTTAATTACGAACGAGTGAATCAACAGGCATATATTAACACAGGAACATAATAAAAAGAGAGAGAGAGAGGGGGGGGGGGGAGCATAAGTATAATTATATGATTGTAAGATTACAGATAATTTTTTAAGGGGGAGCTTCCGCTTAATAGTATTTTGTCAACAACATTCGAATTGCCACCTCATAGTAGATAAGAAAAATGTTTGTACACAATTTCTTGATATTCCTTGATGGTAACATTTCTTTTTGCATACAATTGCGCAAAAAATGCTCACTCGTGGAGCTGTATATTACTCATTGCGAGGTTTTCTCGATAATGTTTTACATTCTTATCAGTAAAAGAATTATCGGTCTTATTAAATGTTCCTTTCTATTGGTATAAATATGTAGTTGACAAAATTTTTTAATAAAATTTTTTTCTTATGTAAAAATTGGACTACTTAATAGTGTAGTGGTAACAAGGATGTAGATTAAAGAAAGATTAAACAAATATTTCAATGCACCATAATTATATTTTATTTCTTACGAAACAAATGAACAATAAGCATTGTCGAATTGAATTCCTAAAACCTAATACTTTCAACTTTAAATTACAGTGGAAAGTATAAGTATTAAAGGAGCGGAAACTTGGAAATAGTTTCTATTGATGCCGATGTTTGCGGCCTGTTGTTCCAAATTTTGGTAGTGCTTATTCGAGAAAATGGACACGTACAAGGATAAGTGTTCGGCGGAGGTCATTTCGTGCACGAAATCCTTGAATACCTTGGAGTTCGCTATTTTCTCTTCGTACAGTTGCTCAAACTTATCTATCGAAATAAGACTACCGATATCGTAGACGTAACCTTCGATTCCACCGGTGATCATGATATAAGGAGCGAAGAAGGTTTTTATCCTAGAAATCACAGATGGGATACCAAGAGCTTTGTTGAAGCGGTTCACCAGCAATTTTATATCCAAACCGCTGTTCTGTATATAGTCCAGCATGTTTTTGAATGCAAAGTTCTGTTCGATCTCTTGTACCCATTGTTTCGATTCGCTGGACTTGAATAACTCAACGGCTATTTGGAATTCTCTATCCTGAGCCAGGTAGGCTTTCGATATTTCGAGAATCTTTCCAATCGGGATTATGTCGAGGAAAGGCTGGAGCTCCCTTGCTAGAGCGCCCGAACCCGTGGCTGGGAGTTGGGTAGCATTCAGAGGACTGGCCGAAACCAGGGCAACCAAGAGTGCTACAATAACTTTCATCTGTAAAAAAATTAGTTCTTTATTTTTGTTGATGACCGCTTATGTTTAAAGGAAGAAGTTTAGACTGCTTTAATAGGGTATGGTTACAGTGGATGCGCATTCCGATGAATAAAATATTTGCAAGACGATGTAGCTAGTCTCATAACGAATTTGTTAAAACTTCAGTTGGTGAGCATCCAGTGTATCATAGCCTTCAAGGCAAAGAGGAAAATTCTATACTTCATGTCTGTGAAAAGCAACAATTTTTGCAAATAGCTTATTGATCAATAAAATGATGCATGCTTGGCAGCCGTCTAATTCAAAGAAATTTGTATCGGTACTTACTTTCGATGCTTTTCTTCTCCTTTGACTTTTTTTAGTCGCGTTTCGATGTAAACTACTGCCAAGTTGTATCCCATCGTATTTTATATACAAGTTGTGGAGATGATAATGTTATTTCGATAAGATTTATCAATTTGAAGATATACTTGTGAACTGCGTTATCTCGTATTCTCCTTGCAAATTACTCTAGTTTCATATCTCTGTGTCATGTTCGGAATCGTAGTAATTATAAAAACATCGATTCGTGGAAATGTTTTGATGACATGTGACGTGACACCTGAGTGCGAGTTTCATATTGATAGTCAAACAATTAGAAAAATATCTTGGTTTCATGATAAACGAAACTGTATGAAGTACCAGCTTATTTTACTAAATCAAAGGAGAATACATTAGCTGACAAATTTCCTCTACCTTTGTGACCTGCTTTGGGAGCTTTATTAAGCGAAATGTAAAAATGTTTGCACATAGAAAATATTCATTGACGTATGATAGCTACTTTCCAGCTTCGGCGAGACCACTCGCCCACCCGATTTTTATTAAGCACGTAATCTTCCTGTATAGAACTATTACCGAATTGCATAAAATTAAAGTTTGTCCAAAATTGCAGTTTCGCTTCTATTTTGTCGCGTGAATCAACCGTATGCTTCGGTAAAGGTACATCAACGAAAGGAATCTTAGACGAACTAAACAATTTTTCATAAAGGCAACTGTAATGCAAATATACTCTTAGTATTTTCATAATATTTCGCACCCTTAATTGAAGATACGCACGTGCACCTTCGTTTACGTAACTATTCAAAACTCATCCATATCGTATCAGAACTTGGTTCCTAAAGATGTTCGATCGGTATTCATCGATCGGTATTCATCCCTAAACACATGCCCAGTACCGTATTCTCAAAGCGGTCAGCGCTTCATTTCTCGGGGTGGAAATTTAAGTCACGCCGTCGCGGAAGGAATTAATTCCGTTGAAGACGTCGCTTAGTCGTATGAACGAAACATACCGGTGTGAGTTCGACGAGGACGAGGTCGAAGGGTGTACGGATGACGGGGGGAGATACAGGGCTCGGGGCTGTGCTAAGGCAAGCGGCTCGCGGTGTCTGCGGCAAACAATTCCAATTAACTCGCTGGAATTGGAATAGGACTCCTCTCGTCGACGCTTTCTCGACCGAGAGATCGTCTCCTGGGTGCACGAACGTCGACGACGACGTGGGGAACGCGCGCGCGTTCCTCGCCTGGCCTTTCTCACCCTCTTCCATCCACGTTCTTCGATATCTTCCTCTCCGTCCACGCGCAGAAATTAGCTGTCCATCTAAAAAGTTGGCGAAAACACGCTCCACTGACAAGGAGAACGAGAGATTACGCAACTCACGCTTACTGAAATGAAAAAACTTGGTGGATCTTTCAAGTTTCCTCATTGATATTTACATTTCAATTGAGAATCCTCGATCGAAAGGACGGAACCGCGTATTTTCGAAAACAAATATTCACACGATCAGAACATCGGTGCATAATTCTTGATCCTCGTCCTAACATCCGTCTCTCTATCTGTCCTACTCGAAAGGCGGAGCTGGTTGGTAGCCGGGGAGGTATAATTCAATCAGGCTTTGGTAGGGGATGTTTGTCAAGTACGGTTTCTTTGCACGTGCACCGTGGGCGAGTGAATAGCTACCCGTTGGACCATTATCCGGCGCATAATGCTCGTCATCGTCGTCATCGTCGGCCAGGGATAGAGCAAGACAAGGAAGAAGAAGAAGAGAGACACAGAGAGAGAGAGAGAGAGTGAGAGAGAGAGAGAGAGAGAATCATAAAGCACAGGGTTGGGCCGTCGCCCTAGACAATGCGGTTCTTGAGCTGCTCAGATATTGAAGACGCCCGAAAGCGGTGTGTACCAATCTCGGTGTGTACCTAGCGTCTAGCCCGCTACTCTACATTATTAAATCTCACCCGTGTGGACCGGCCACACAGGACGATGGTGTTCTTTCGTCGCTTTCGAGATGCCGTCGACCGACGTGCGTCGAATTTTCAACAGGACAGAACGCCCGGCTAACATGGTGGGACGTTATCACGCGTTATCGTCCCACACTGTGGTGTGTAGAAAAATTTAAAGGGTATCTTGGACGATAGTGGTAGCGATTAACGGTAATAATCGGTGGTTACGTAGAAAATGCTGAAACGATATTCTTTTCGAAACTCTTTCGACGCGTAATATTTTTCGTTACACCAACTTAACCTCCCACCCTTTGTTCCAATCAATCGACGCACGCAGCCAACATCAGGTATACGTACGTAAGTCGCACTTCTCAATT